CTTTTCCCAAAAAGTGATACAAAAATTTAGGATGTAAAAATCAATATACAAATATCAGTACCTTTTTCTATACACCAATAACAAACAGGTTGAGAAAGAAACCAGGAAAGGAATCCATTCACAAAACTCTCAAACAAAACAAAAAAAACCTAGGAGTAAGCCTAAAAAGGAGATGGACAACCTCTTCATTAAAAACTATAAAACTTTGAAGAAACTGAAAAAGACAATAGATGATGGAAAGACTTTCATTAAAAATTATAAAACCTTGGGCAGGGGATATAACTCAGTGGTTTAGCGTTTGCTTAGTATGCACAAGGCCCTAAATTCGATCCCCAGTACCACAAAAAAAAAAAAAGAAAACAAAAAAAAGATAAAACTTTGAAAAAGATGGAAAGACACCTCCAATGTTAGTGAATCAAGAGAATTAATATTATGAAAATGGTTATACTACTGAAAGCAATGTACAGATTCAATGCAATCCCCATCAAAATCCCAATGTCTTTCTTTATAGAAATAGAAAAATCAATCCTGAAATTCATATGGAAGCACAAAAGACCCTGAACAGCCAAAGCAATCCTGAGAAAAGACAGCAATGTGGAAGTATTACAATACCTGACTTCAAACTATACTACAGAGCCATAATAACAAAAACAACATGATACTGGCACAAAAACAAACATATACATCAATGGAGTAGAACATAAATTCTAGAAATAAGCCCACACAGCCCCTGTCATCTTATTTTTGACAAAGGCACCAAAAACATACCTCAAAGAAAGGAAAGCCTTTGCAACGTGTAGTGCTGAAAAAGTGAGTACCTACAAGTTGATGACTAATGATACCATCTTTCAACCCGTGCAAAAGTTAAATCAAATTTAATCAAAGATCTACAAGTAAGATCAGAAACTTTGAAAGTACTATAGGAAAATATAGGGAAAATGCTTGACAATATAGGCATAGGTAACACTTTTCTGATTAGGACTCCAGTTGCTCAGGAAATAAAAGTAATAATTGACAAATGAGTTTGTATCAAATTAAAAGGCATCTGTGTAGGGTACCAGTGGCTCACACCTGTAATCCTAGCTATTCAGGAGGCAAAGAGCTGGAGGATTACATTTCAAAGCCAGCCCTGGTCAAACAGTTCAAAAGACCCTACCTGGAAAAAACCAAACACATTTTTTGTGTTGTGTAATGGCTCAAGTGGTAGAGCGCCTGCTTTGCATGAAGCCCTGAATTCAAACTCCAGTATAAAGCTTCTGCCCAGCAAAGGAAATAATTATCAAAATCAAGAGACAACCTACAGAATAGGAGAAAATCCTTGCCAACCACTTATCGGATGAAGGATTAATGTCCAGAATACATAAAGTTCTCCAAAAAGGAAACAACAAAAGAAATTAACAATCCAATTAGAAATTGGGCAAATGAACTGAACAATCCTCAAAAGTAGTATAAATGGCCAATAAACACACAACGAAGGTTAAACAACCTTAGCCATAAAAGAAGTGCAAATCAAAACTACACTGAGAATCCATCACACACCAGTTAGGATGGCATTCATCAAAAAAAATAAATAAATAAATTCTGGTGAGGATGTGGGGGGAAAAGGAACTCTCTTACACTATTGGAAGGAATGTAAATTAGTGCAGCCACTATAGAAATCATTATGGAGGTTCCTCAAAAAAACCAAAAATAGTACTACCATATGATCCTGCTATACCACTCCCGGGCATACGTCCAAATGAACGTACATCAGTATACAATAGAGCTATCTGCACACCCATGTTTACAGCAGTACAATTCACAACTGCCAAACTATGGAATTAGCCTAGGTGTCCATCAACTGATGAATAGATGAGGAAAATGTGGTATATATACATAAAAGAGTATTATTCAGCCATAAAGAAGAACGGAATTATGTCATTTGCAGGAAAATGAATGGAACCGGAAGTCATCATGTTATATAAAATAAGTCAGACTGAGAAAGGCAAATATCACATGTTCTTGCTTATATCTAGACCTAAAAAGGAGGGGGTAGAGGCATGACTCACTGGTAGAGTTCCTGCACAGCAAGGCCCTGAGTTCAAGCCTCAATACTGCCAAAACAAACAAACAAAAATGACATGAGTATAAAATGGGGAGACTACTTGAGGGTGGGAACCACATGGAAGGGAGAAGGCAAAAACAGAGGGTGAAGGTGGGGATAAATATGATTGAAGTACTTCACATACATGTATGAAAACAGAATAATTAAATCATTAAAAGCTGTTTAAAGAAGGGGGAGAAGGGCTAAGAATAATAGGGGGAGTAAATTTGACTGAAATACATTATATGCACATGCAAAAATATCATAATGAAACCCCTTGTACAATTTTATGCTCTAATTTTAAAAAGTTTTAAAAAATTAGAAATCTGAGCCAGGCACTGTAAATCCTAGCTACATGAGAGGCTGAGACCGAGAGGACTGCGGTTCAAGTGCAGCTCAGGCAAACAGTTTGAGAGGACCCCCATCTCCAAAATAACCAGAGCAAAATGGACTGGAGGAGTAACTCAAGTGGTGGAGCACCTGCTTCGCAAGTTCAAACCCCAGTCCCACCTAAAAGAAAGAGAAAAAAAAATAGAAACTCTTCATTCAAAGTAGACAATGAATGAAATACCAAATCTTTTGCTTCTCAAGTTTTAGAACATCGAAAATATTGGATAATATTACAAAACATATTAATGTGAACTAAAAATGATGTTAAAAAACAAAAGGTAAAATGTCCAGGTGTCAATAGTCAACGGGAAGTTGAAAGCTATAGTAGACATAACAGCCAACAAGATAAAACAATCACTTCAGGTTCTAAAATTGAGTCTACACCTCTGTATAAAAATGAGCCCTTCAAGTAGTCTGCATCCTCAGTGAAAGACAAACTAATATTAGCAAATGTCCACTTCGCAGAGGTATTTATCAAGGAAGTCTATCCCTGTTCAAGTATTTTGATGGGGAAATAAGAATGCTTAGATTATGAGTTTTCTCTTCTCTTCTGGTACAGGAATCCCACAACAATAAGTTAATATACATTAGAAGATGTTAGGAGCTGGGCTACAGATGTGGTAGAACACCTGCATAGAATGCATAAGGCCCTGGTTCAATTCCCAGCCCCACAAGAAAATAAAATAAAGCTGCTGCTTTTCTCTTAGCCCGCACCACAAAAAAGAAATGATATTAGAGGCTAATGATATGACAGCCTAGAAGAGCAAACAGAATTTTGATGGCAGCAGCAGTTTTGCTGTGTTTTACATTTTGAATTTCTTCTTGTCAAGACATCCCACTCCACTTCAGGCTCAGCACATCTCTTCCTCAGGCAGAGCCTCTATGTTAGCTATTTCAGCACAGTTCTGTAATCTCTCAAACTTTGACTAAAAATGTCTGTTTCATTATCATTATTGAATGATAACTGGTTAATTAGAATTCAAGGTTAAGAGTTGTTTTCCCTCAGCCCTTCGAAGGCACTGTACCATTCTTGTTTTTTGGTGGGGCGGGGCAGCACTAGAGTTTGAACTCAGGGCCTACCTCACACTTACTAGGCAGGAGCTCTAGCACTAAAGCCACCCCATGAGCCCTTTTTTGTGTTGGGTATCTTTTCAAGACAGGGCCTTTCAAACTATTTCCCTAAGCTAGCTTGGAACTGCACACGAACCCTCCTGATCTCTGCCTCCTGAGTAGCTTAAGCTTGAAAGTGCTAAATTCACATCGCATTTGTTTTCCTAAGTTATCACCCAGAATGTAAGTCTTCATGATCATCTATTCCAGGAGTTCATAAACATGACTGGACAAAGAAACCGAACAGACTGTAAAATAAGAACAAATACATGGCCTCCCCAGGATAGCTGCAATTGGGGAATGAGCACAGAAAATTTTTAAAGCTCACCAGCTCAAAAGGACAATCAAGTTTACACCAAGTTCAGATTCTCAGAGAAGTATGGTTCTACAAATTGTCCAGACTTACCCAACCTACTGAGTTAGAAATGCTGGGCTGGACTCAATAATTATTTTGTTTTTGTGTTAATGGGATTGAACCCAGGACCAATGAACTATATCCACAGATTCTTTTGTATTTTCATTTTGAGACAGGGTCTCGCTAAGTTGCCCAGCTGGCATGGAACTTGCTATTCCTCTGCCTCAGAGTCCAGAGTGGTTGGGGGTAGCTGGGCATTCATTGCTATGCCTCAGCTTCAGCAACTGCAATTTGTTTTGTGCTGTTATATATGTGTGCATGTGTGTGTGAGATCAGCTTTTTGAGAATGAGTCCTGCTACGTAGCTCAAGCTGACTTTGAAGTCTGTGTAGCTCAGGCTAGCGTCGAACTCAGGTTACTTCTGTCTCAGCCTCTTGAGTGGGATTACAACTGTGTATAACCAAACCTGGCAACAACTGTGTTTTGGATTTTTTGGAGGTACTGGGAGTTGAACTCAGGGCTTGTTAGGCAGGTGATCCATCACTTGAGCCACTCCACCACACCAACAACTGTGTGTTAACAAGCTTCTCCACTGATTCTGATGTGAGCTCAACTCTGAGAAGCCTGATAACATATTACTACTCTTCCTACTTACGTATTAACAAACCCTGCTGCTGGGAGGAGTGGCTCAAGTGGTAGAGCACCTGCCAAGTAAGCGTGAGGCCCAAGTTCAAACACCAATACCACCAAAACTAAAAATAACAAAAAGAAAATCCCCTGCCACTCTCCTGCCTATGGAGCCTCCACAGTTAGTCACTTAGAAAGGTACACCACAGCTGACCGATTCCTATGCACCATCAAATCTCTTCAATGAAGTTTTTCCTTAACTGACTGAACCTGGTCCACTTCTTTTATAGAGTCCTCACATAGTGATTTTTATTACAAACAGTGGCACTTTACCATACGCAAGATGAGCAAAAAAGAACACTGTAAAAAGCAAACAAACAAAAAACATATATTGAAGCCCCTGCAAAGAAAATATTCAGTAAACATTAAAACTCACCATACACGCCTGCAGAAGTAGAACTGTTCATGGTAGAAGGCCCTTTAAAGACACCAGAAGAAAGAAGCTCGTCAGATCCCCGCTGAAAAGCAAAAGCAAAGGTGAGTTAATATAGCAAGTTCTGAACAATGGTTTACATTTACCAGTAAAACTATCAAAGGCTAGCAATTTATTTCAGCATGAAAATATTTCAGGGAAGTCCTTGAAGGCACAAAGTCTCAGCTGGAAGTGATGCATGGAAGGAGGAAGAACAGCTCCCACATGACTTATGACTTAGAACAGCAGCAATGCCATCACAGAAAGCGGGAACGCCATCTTGCAGCCAGCCAGTGTGAACCAAACCCAGTCCTCCAAGACACTATGTTTGAAGTATAAACTGACATTGTTTTCATATTTATATGCAAATAACCTGTATAACCCTAAGAATCCTGACTTTTCAATGCCCATGTACTTTTTAAAATAGAACACAAAGATACAATATATATTTATACTGACCAAATTCTTTATAATCAGTGATTTTTTTATGGATTAACCCTAAAAGTGATCTTTAATGTATACCATTTCTTGGGAATGTTTCATTGTTGTTCATTTCTTTTTTGAGACAGGGTCTTGCTACAGCGTTCAAGGTAGCTTGGAACTTGCAATCCTCCTGCCCAGTCTCCTGAGTGCTGTGTGTACCACCACAACTGCCAGTAAAAACTTTTAATCTAATTTCACATTCAACCGTCACTGCTAAAGAGGTTAGATAACCAACCTTTTTCATTATAACCCTAAGACATATTACCAACACCAAGTGCAGTGGCTCATGTCTAAAATCCCATTTACTCAGGAGGCAGAAATTGCAATGACTGCAATTCTATACCAACCCAGGCAAAAAAGTTAGCAAGACCCCTCACCTCAATCAATAACCTGCCGTCTTATCTACATGGGATGCTGTAGGTAGGATGATCATAGTATGAGGCTGGTCCTGGGCAAAAATGTGAAACCCTACCTGAAAAATAACTAAAGCAAAAAAGGGCTGGGGGTGTGGCTCAAGTGCTAGAGTACCTACCACCAAGTGTGGGGCCCTGAGTTCAAACCCCAGTACCAACCAAAAACAAACAAATAAAACCCAGATATGTAACCAAAATTTTAAAAGGGTAATAAATACGGAATACAAAGTCAAAACCAACCTATTTCAAAAAGTACCTTTTGGACCTGGTGCTCAAGAGGTAGAGCACCTGCCTAGCAAGTGCGAGGTCCTGCATTCAAGCCCCAGTCCCCCCAACCCCAAAAAAGTTATCATTTGTTCAGCTTCTTCACTTTTTAAGAACAAGTATTTTGGTCCACTGGATGACAAAATCTAATCCCCCAACAAACTTACAAATATTAAAATAGCATAGTGCTATAACAGACATTTAATGTTGTGGTGAGAATACCACTTCTAAGGGAAGTGGTATTAGCCTCTGTTGCAGGAAGACTAACCAGCAATATATTTGCATAATACAAAAATAATTACTTCAAAGAATTCCTGTATTAAGCATCCAGAAATTATTCCCTTTGATTCTTTCATTAGAAATTTCTAGACATACTTTGGGATAAGAAGGAATTAAATTAGCATGCAGGATGAAAGAAAACTGAAAAATCTCAATTCCCATAAAGACCAGAATTAAGGTCTCACTTTAAAGCACATGCCTTCCTGATAATTTCTGAAGTATAGATGCTATCAGGCTTTGTAGTCTTTGTAGATACAGAAAGTTTTCCAAGTTGTACTAATTTATAATCCCACTAAATTGTGCGTAATTAACTCTCATTTAATTCTAGGAGTTTTGGGGATAGGAATGTGGCTCAAGAAGGTAGCATCTGCCTAGCAAGTTCAAGGCCTTGAGTTCAAACACCCTCACTGCCAATAATAATAATAATTCTAAGGGTTGTTGTTGCACATTCTTACTAAACACTTACTTGATATTGTCAGTCTTTTTTTTTAATTTTTATTTTTCTATTATTCATACGTGCATACAATGCTTGGGTCATTTCTCCCCCCTGCTCCCACCCCCTCCCTTACCACACACTCCGCCCCCTCCCTCTCCCCCCTACCCCCTCAATACCCAGCAGAAACTATTTTGCCCTTATCTCTAATTTTGTTGAAGAGAGAGTACAAGCGATAATAGGAAGGAACAAGGGTTTTTGCTAGTTGAGATAAGGATAGCTATACAGGGATTGTCAATCTTTTTAATATGATATTTTGTCATGATTTTCTTACATGTCCCTGATAATAAAATTAAACATATTTCCTATGTTTATTGGATAGGGTATTAGTCCTTTATGTGTGGCTTAATAAACAATGATTTCTGGTTCATTTAAAATGTTGATGGCTGTTACAGAAATATACCTGTTCCTATGCTGGGAATTGGGCTGGAAGAACACCACCTCCTATATGGGACATATTCTTCTGGCAGAAATATCATCATTAAAGCTTCTGCTTGGATTAAGTGTAGGCCATGGTCATTCATATTCCACAGGCCAAGGTATACCATGAAACTGTGCTCAAAGTCAATGGGGCCAGAAGTCGTCCTTTCACTGGAGGCACTGAAAGTCACATATCCATGAATGCAGCTGAATTATCCTTTCACAGGTAAGGACGAGGTATAGACACTCTGGAACAGTAACAGTGTACTACTTTATGATGAGATGCTGTTCAAGTTTCTTGTCATTTTCTATTATCATCATTTTTTCTTATTGGTTCCTGGCGTTTTGATTTTCCTTTTTCTTATTAAGTTATGGATAGCCTTTGGTGGCTATCTGTATCACAAGTGTTTTCGCCCATCCTACAACCTGCCTTTTTATTCTCAGAATGATGTCTTTTGTTAAACTTCTGCACAGCAAAAGAAAGAGTCCACTAGACTGAAGAGACAGTCTACAAAATGAGAGAAAATCTTATCAGCTATGTATCTGACAAGGGATTAATAACCAGAATATACAGGAAGCTCAAAAAACTAAACTCCTAGGACTGAAGATGGTAGAATGCCTGCCTAGCAAGCAAAAAAACAAACAAAAAACCTTAAATTCCCAAAGAATCAACAATCCACCTAATGAACCTAATGGGCAAATAAACTGAACAATTTTCAAAAGTAGTAAAACCGACCAATAAATACATGAAGAAATGTTCAACATCCCTGACCATAAAGGAAATGCAAATCAAAATGACATATTGAGATTTCACCTTACTCTAGTCAGAACAGCTATCATCAAGAACACAAACAACTACAAATGCTGGTGAGGATGTGTGTGTGGGAGGGAGGAACTCGTATATACTGTTGGTGGGATGCAAATTAGTGGAAAGCTGTATGGTGGTTCCTCAAAAACCTAAATGAGAACTACTATAGAATCCAGCGATGCCGCTCCTGGGTATCTATCCCAAGGAATATAAGTCAGGATACAACAGAGACACCCGCACACCCATGTTTATTGCAGCATTATTCACAATAGTCAAGCTATGGAAAGAGCCCAGGTGCCCTACAACTAAGGAATAGAATAAGAAAATGTGGTTCAGAAATGTGATATTACTCAGCTATCAAAAAACTGAAATTATGTTGCCTGCAAATAAATGGATGGAACTGGAGATCATGTTAAGTGAAGTAAGGCAGGTTCAGAAGACAAAAGTCACATGTTTTCTCTCATATGTGGAAGACAGATCTAAAAGATAAATGTGTACAAAATACATGATCATGTATACATTATATATACAGAAAGTGGAACTGTTAGAGGGGACTAGAAGGAGGCGGGTGAGGAAAACAATGATACAGAGGGAAGAAAGTATCAAAATACATTACATTTGTGTTATGAAGATGGTTAATAAAACACACTGAAAGCTGTTGGGGGGAGGAAAAGAGGATAATAAGGAGAGTTAATCTAATTAAAGTACAATATATTCATGCATGAACTGCCACAGTGAAACCCCTTTTGAACAATGAATATACACATAAAAACTGAAGAACAGGAATGGAAGACAGATCTTGTTTAGGGGTGGATACTTGTGGGAGGGGGAACATGAATGCAGAGAGAAAAAGAGGGTGAATATGACAGAGGTACTTTTTCTATATGTGTATAAAAATTGAACAATGACACCCTACCCAATACAACCAATATATCCTAATTTAAAAAAACTAAACAATGAAACCTGCTGAAATTGATTTAAGAAGAGGGTAAGGGGATGAGGGAGAATGATGGTGGGGGGTGACTCTAACCAAGACACATGGCAAACATATATGGAAATGTCACAATGAAATACCTCTGTACAACTAATATATGCTAATGTGAAATATATGCTCTTAAAAAAACAACACTCTCTTTTGTTATACAAAAAAAATCTTTAATGTTCAGGTTATCAATATGTATTCTTCATATTTGTGCTTTTTTATGTGTCTTGTTTTGTACAGGGTGTTGCTATGTGGCCCAGGCTGGCCTGGAAATCATGATCCTCCTACCTCCACACCCAGCTGCTGGAATTACAGGAGTATAACATGACCCTATGCTTAAAACTTTATTCTTAACCTATGAATTACCACTGAGTATGTAGTGGTAAAAAATAAAATAAAATAAAATTTAGTCTAAAAATGTATTCAAATATGCAAGCTTAGAAAAATCAAAAAATTAAATTAAAAAAAAATTAAATTTAACTTACATCTTAATTCTCACATTCAAAATATCTACACAAAATATAAACTACAATAAGGAAATAGTAAGCACTGCAAAGTTCTTCAAAATTAACAACTATGTTTGATAATTCTACTAGCTCTTTCAATAACACAAAGAACTTTTAAAATGGAATAAAACATAGTTTTAAAATGCACAATAACCAGGTGCCAGTAACTTACATCTATAATTACAACTTGGGAGGCTGAGATCAGGGAGATCAAGGATCAAGACAAGCCTGGGCAAATAATTGGCGATGCCCCATCTCCAAAACTAACTAGAGCAAAATGGACTGGAGGTGGTTCAAGTAGGAGAGCACGTGCTTTAAAATCATGAAGCCTTGACTTCAAACCCCAGTTCCACCAAAAAAAACCCAAAATAAAAGCCAAAAGCACAAATAAAGGAAGC